TATAAAGACATTGTTTCGTACCTTAGACTTTTGTTTATTTCAAGATAACAAATAAACCATAACCCTTAATAAATGAGCAAAATAATATTTTTACAATTTGTAAGCTAAAACGTAAACGTAAACATCATAGAATTTAAAAAAGTACAGTTGCTTATTTCAAAGTAATTGTAAATTGTAAAATTGTAACATAATTAAATTAAATAATAAATTTTATTGTCGAAAATTAGGGTTTGTAATTATTTTAACAAAGGAAAATATTTTACCGAAAGTTCCGTATATGTATAAGGACGCTGGGCAGGCCCCATCGACATTACCTTACACTAATCTCCCAGGGTTATTTTACCCCCTTTCCGTTCTCCTACGTATCCCGCCACTGCACAGCATTACCTGTGTTTGTTGGATCCGGAGTTTTTACGCCGGCTGGTAGATCTACCCTAGGAGGTCGTGCATGACAGTGTCGATGGTTAAGGCCACTCCCGGATTTTTGTCGCCGGGTCTGGCCATACGCCCAGTTTAGGCTAGTGGAGAGCGGGACAAGGAGGGTAAAAGTTGGTTTTTGGAAGACATTGAACTGACCCAAAACTAACACCATTCAATTGGGATTCATGAATGGGGGTAGAAGTGTTAGTACGCTGCTAGAACCTGTCCTGGTTGGTGTATTTCTGAACGTCTCTGTCCGAGTCAGTTTCCGGTTCCTGGTAACCTGTTTAGAATTGTTTGCCCCCTGTGAGATACTGAATCTTGTCTTCAGTACCGAAGTGTTGACAGCCACGACCCGCCGTAAGTGCCCTCTGCCTTGGTGGATATTCCTCATGCCGAGTGCCGGCTACCGACCTTGTATATTCTTTATTTATTTTATTATTAAAGTAGTGTTTATACCGTTTAGATTTCGTTGAAAACGTACACGTGATTTCAGGCAGTCAATCAAAACATTTATTACCATAAATCTTTTATTATTGTTATTTGGATTCTTTATACCTATTTAACGAGTTTGCGAAGTGCGAATTATCCGAAAAAAGATGCCATCACTGGTTTTCAAACTATTGTTTTACAAAATGTTTGTTATAATTACAAACTACTTATTCAATTAGTTAACAGATTACAGTTGGTGGACCTGGATTAACATAAAATCTGGTTAATATGTTGTTAAATCTGGTTAATATGTGGTTAAAATCAACAAAAATTTATTTATTATGCATATGTGACGCAGCAATTTAGCCTGATTTCAAAATATTTTATTTATACAAAACGATGGCAATGTTATGCTTTTTGCGTTTCTGGGTAGCTTTATTAGTTGCCTATCTGATTCATGCTCTACATTGGTATTATAATAACACACCTGGAAAACTTATCTGTCAGGCCCGGATTTTAGGTAAAACACCTTTTGTTGGTTTTTTAGGTTTTAAAGATATTTTTTTGTATTTGCCCGTTTTATAAAAAATGGAGTCATCTGACTAAGTTTTATTTGACCTAAAATACCTTTTTTATATTTTTTTCACCTATTTTCCTTTTTTGCACCTAAATTGTATTTTTAATACCTACACTCAGAGAAATATCATGTCATGAAAAGAATATGAAATTATATTAATTTAAATAATCGGGTAAATTTGATTCAAATAGAAAAATTTGTAGTTTTATATTCATTTACCAACAGTTTTACAATGTTTTTAAGCACTTTTAAAGTTTACCCTCTTTAAAATATAATATATATTATATACAAAAAGAAATCTATTTATTTCATTGCCTTTCTCAACGTTGTTTCAAAAAGATATGTATTATACAATTGTTATACACCTATTAATTTAATGGTACACACCAATGACGCCAAAACATATTTGAATCCCTTTGAATTATTATCGTTTTGAATGATTCTACAACATTTTTTCTCTCAGTGTAAAATGAACTTTTTTTACCCGTCCTGTGACGTTAAACGATCATTCTCTTGGTTTAAAAATGTTTTGACTGATAAACGCACTAGCTTTACTTCTGAAAACTTTTTTTTTATTATTTTTTTTCTTTATTATTTTTTTAATGTGCTTTCAACAGGCACCAGGCCCAATTACAGAAGTACACAATGACAAACACAAATAAACAGCCATACCCCTGGTGGGATTCGAACCCACGACCACTCGTCTTGTAGTCCGCAGTGCTAACTACTACACCACCGAGGGCGAAACTTGGAGAAATATTTTGTCTGTCATGCATATAATCGTTAAATAAATTAATACAATTTTTTTTTTGATTTTAGAGTTCCTATTTTGTTTTTTTTTTGTAATTTTAGAGTTCCTATTATGTTTTTTTTTGCTATTTTACATTATTTGTGATATGATATATTTACTTTTTTAAAGAATCTTTTATTTTATTTTTTATTTTTCCAACCAACCTTTATTGCCGGACATTAACAGAGCAATTATAATGTAACTAAAACTACATAAGACCTATGTATGGTTTTACAACGATATCGACATTATAATGAAAACATTTTATTTCAATAAATCAGCTTATTTTTTTTATTTAAGTACCTAAAATGTAGACACCTAAAATAATAACCTAATTTTATAACTATGTGACCTATTTTTTGCATTTTTTTTTTACTTTTTTATAACCTAAAAATACGGGCCAAACAATATTAACTTTTTAATTAAGTACCTAAAATATAGGTACCTAAAATATTAACCTATTTTATTAGAAATATCACCTAATTTAGGAACCTTTTATCACTTTTTCATGACCTAAAAATCCGGGCCTTACTTATCTGATAGACAACATCAACCGAGTAGAGGGAAAAACAGTGGGAGAAGAATGGGAAGAGTTTTTTGACCCAGAAAACAGTGCGATAGATATGGATGGATCGACTTCAGACAAAAATCAACAGGTAGTAGAAGTGGAAATCGAATAAAGTAAAGATGGTGTAAGAAGCGAAGATAGTGAAAGCGCTGAAGCCAACAAAAACCGGGACTCTTGAAAAAGGGCTCGAAAATTCATACTAAAACATATACCAAAAATACTACTAAAAAACCACAACAGAAGTGGCAGTTTAAGCAGCAGAATAATAAAGATCTAATCAAAACTACAATCAACAGTATTTTGAAGCTGTTTTTTGAAGACAAAGTAATATACCAGAAGTTTCAAGACGACTCGTCGCTGGTTTATGTCCCCTTTACTGTATATGAAGTACTGGTCACGGTGTGAAGTTAGCATCAGGTTTTTTTTCACGGGCTTCTTATTGTTATTTGTAAAATAATACTGAGGAAATTATTTTATTATCTTAACACCAAAAAGTATTAAATAAATTTCTAACGCCATTACCTATTTGAAAATGCAAGTGTGTACTTACCTTTTCATTTTGCCGGCAGTAAACTAGATTTAATTGAAAGCCGTGAAGTGGCAATAAAACATTCTCTATACTTTTACTGTGAAAAACTGCTTCCATATCATCATTTAAACGGTTGTTATTACATTTTCAAGGAATAAATTTCGATTTGACATTTTGACTGCTGCGCCGATAATACAGATTAGAAATTTTAAAGCGAGTTACTTCATTTTTTTTATAGATGTTGCTCTATAGGTAAAAATATTTAATTTAAATCATCTTAGATAATATTTGTCATAGAAAAAGTATAGTATGCAACTCGTTTATAAACTTTCCTAGCCACTCATTTAATTAAGCACTTGCTTGCAAGCTCACTCGTGAGTGAATTAAATTCGTGACTTAAATGGCTTTAAATAATTTTAAATAAAATGTGTATTTCCTTAAATAAATATTTATAAATGCCACATCTCAACAAAAAGAAAGTAATTTTCTTATAAGGAAAATATTAATGAGATTTATTATTTGTTTTAATACAAAGAACATTTTCACATGCTTGAACTTTTATTTTCTGACAAATAATTTAAATGAATTTCTTATAAAAAAAGTATTATTATAAAAGAGTGTTTACATAGTAAAGTTTATTTAAAAGGTTTATAATTTACATCCATTTGTGTGTTTCAAAAAAACCAAAATTGTTTTTTTCTTGCAAACATGCTTAAAAATATGAGCTCTTCATTTTAATATCTCAATGCTCGCACGCATCGCACTTTTCGTTTTTCTATAAGAATAACATGGAAAAAATTTTGTTTCTTCTTTCTGATTTTTTTAACTCGCCAACCAAAGGTCATACATAAAATGTGTTTAAATATTTTTATACAGAATTAAACGCTCCACAAAAAGGTTTTACATGATTTTTTGCTAAACAAATTGGATAAAAAGTTATTAAAGATCATTGCAGCGGAACTACTCAGTTTGATAAAACTGAGCACGAAATTTCAAGCGGAACATAAATTTGACATTACAAGAGTCGTTAAACAATATTTTTTTTGGTGCCTGAAATTTCAGTATTTGATAAATCGATATGCATTAATGTGTCCCGCTTTCACTCATGTAATATATTTTTTTAACGATGAGGTGGAATTAAAATGATTTGGGACCTCTAAATATTTTTTTTTAATCTGAAAAAAATTCATAGTGGCTTTTCTAGTAAAAACACACAGAAAAAATAAAGTGGACATCCTACTTTACATCCTCAAATGTTTCTGTCTCAGAATTGATCCAACCATCGATTTCTCCAACCTTATAAAAATTTAAAAAGAATTTTGAAGAAAAAGTTGAAAAAATACCTTTTGAGCAAGTCAAAAACTGAAAAGTTTAATAATTATAATTTATTTTTATCCAAAAATAAATATTTTATTTATTGCAATGCAATAGACCTATCTCATAAAACAGACTTTTGGATAGCGCGTGCCTGAAGAAGAGTGGTATCTCTTTCTCTTTTATATAATTAAAAAAAGACGACCTGCCTTTTCACGCACGCGCTATCGAAAAGTCCGTTTTATGGGATAGGTCTATTATAATATTTTTTTTTAATATCTCATTACTACTTAAAATGTTACATCAAGATTTGTTGCGCCATCTAGGAGCTAAAATTCAAAACTTAAATGCTGTTTAAAAGATTTCTTTAGTTTTATTCATTAAAAATATTATCTTTATATCTGTTTTTCTTATGTATTTTTATTCAAAATTCAGCATTTAAAATTAAACTCTTTTTACAAATTTAACTCTCACTCCGTGTTTGGGTCTTAAAACTACATCAGGAATAAATATTACGCTAGCAGGAGTATCTATCGCCTCCAATTTAAAATGTTTTAAAATTCCACATAAAACTGCTTTATATTCCAAAATTGCAAATCGCTGACCTAAAACAAATTAATGTAACAGTTGTAACAATTCACATATCGTTTATGCAAAACAAAAGTGACCTAACTTAAAACTAGAATGGCGTTTTAAAATTGTCTTCACTTTTTATAGGTCATAAGTATTTTACTTTTTGTTTTTACTTTCCCCTCTGACCGTTATTTATATACAGGGTGTCTGTTTTGTATCTCGGTTATCTTTTTTATTTATCTTAAAAGATTAATAGGTACTTTCTAAAAATGAATTAGTCAAAAATTAATAATTTGATAGTTATAAGTGGCTGCTTTTTCACTTGTACCATGGTTAACCATGGAATACCATGGTATCCAAAAATTTAACAGCCAATTCTTATGTAAAATTGTCCCCTGAATACGAAAAGGTCGTCAAAAGTTAAAAAAGTGAAACAGTTTTTGAGATATAGTCAATTTTTCATTTTGGAATTGACTATATTTCAAAAACTGCTCCACTTTCATACTTTTTGAGACAATTTTACATAAGAATTGGCTGTTAAATTTTTGGATACCATGGTATTCCATGGTTAACCATGGTACAAGTGAAAAAGCAGCCACTTATAACTACCAAATTAGTCATTTTTGACTAATTCATTTTTAGAGAGTAGTTGATTAAATTAGAAAAAAGTTGCACTTTTTAAGGTGAATTTAAATTTGTCAAAATTTAGCTTCGGAAAACGGACACCCTGTTTTTTATATTGTGTCACTTATATTGTGCATAAGCGATATAATAATTTTAATATTTTACCAATGCAATTTCTGGGTCCTGCACTGAAAGGTAAAAAGGCAAAGGGATGCCTGTGTTTTGTATTCTCAGGCAAAAACCTATCAGGATTAAACACATCGGGGTCTTCGTAATGATCAGGGTGCCTGTGCAAATCAAAGATGTGGATATTGACTATTGTCTCTTTCGGTAACATGTAACCAGATTTTGTAACTACGTCCTCTGATAAAACGCGCGATATAAATGGCACGCTTGGATAAAGCCTTTGAATCTCTTTTATGCATCTTTCCATGTACTTTAGTTTCATCAGCTGGTCGTAGTTTGGACGAGATGTGTCACCCAGAATTTGTTTCATTTCTTCATAAATCAAATCCTTAAAGAAATCTTTTTTTAATTTCGGTCTTTTGTGGTAAAATAAGGGTAAAATGACTAATCCTATAATACAAGGTTGCCTCGAATATAAACGCAACTATTTTTGTTTTTAAATTAGAATTGGCTCTCCAGATGTTTCCACGTATTTTAAAAACCAAACAATATCCATTACAATTTTATATTTTAGAGTGTTAAGTAGGTACACTGTTTTAAAAATCACATTTGTTAACATGAGTTTTGTATAGGTATTATGAAATTTTGTAAGCATTTTGTTAATTTCAATGGTTAAAAATTATTTTGTTGATGTTTAACAAATTATTTTATTGAAAAAGTACACATGATAACATGTCTGCAGACAGTCAATCAAAACGTTTCCCACTGACAATACGTATTAACAAGTTCAAATGTCGTCTGCAACTTATGTTTCTGTTTACATTATTCTAATTCGTAACGAGTTCGTAACAACTGTCCAGATAGTTTATAATATATTAAGAAATATGTTTCCTATATTCCTTATACCTATTTAACGAGTGTGCGAAGTATCCGAAAGCCATCACTGGTTTTCAAACTGAAATACAGAGATACAGTAAAGTGGGTTAAAGTTGCGATATACATCAGTAAGTATTGTAGTAGTACTGATTATTATATTGTACCAAATTTTTTTATAATTTGATGATTTCAGAATAGTGTGTTATTTAATTGTGTGTATGATATTTTTGTGTAGGTATTAGACTGGGCCAAAAAAATCGATTATTTTTTTTTAGGAAAGTATATCGAAAATATTGTTTGGGGTGACAAAAAAAATTATGGTGAAAGTTTGAGTCTACAATATTAATATTAAGAAGTCTATCATCGCAATTTTAGATTTTTTTTTCCTGAGCGAGTTTTTGTCTCAGAACTCCCAAATCATTGAGTTTAACAAAATTGACTTGGGAATATTTTTTGAAGAAAATTGAATGCTCTACAAAAAAGTTTTTATTGGAATTTCCCGTCAGATGAACCTTTTTCTTACAATCATGCCTTAAAAATTGGTATAGTTTTACAATTTTATCTTAACTTTGGAATTTTGTAATTCAAGTAAAAATCAGTACCCTGAAAAAAAACGATAAATATTCATATGGGAAATCAAATGCTCTTTTTGGATAGATTCACTCCATCAAAAGTTATTCAAGGTTAACTTTGAAGTCAAAACGAAATTTTAACCTTGAATAACTTTTGATTGAGTGAATTTAGCCAAACATGTTAAGAGGATTTTTTTGTAAAGCATTTAATTTCCCATAAGAATATTTATCGGTTTTTTATTGGTACCGATTTTTACATGAATTACAAAACTCCAATTTAAAAGATCAAAATGTAAAACTATACTAATTTTTAAGGCATGATTTTAAGGAAACGGTTCATCTGACTGAAAATTTCACTTTAATCTTTTTTGTAGAGCATTTATTTTTCAATTTTGTTAAACTCAGTGGTTTGGGAGTTCTGTGCCTAAAACTTGCTGAGGGAAAAAAAATTAAAATTGCGATATTACAATATATTTTCTTATAAGAATATGTCGCTGTAGTTCTTACTATACAGAAAGTTTATACATATCATACGTATAGTATATTTAACCATATAGAGGGTACTTGTAACCCTAGGCATATGATTATTATTTCTAAATAAATTTTTGTGCATAACCATTGTATATGAAAACAATTAAATGGATTTAAATTAAACACGTATGAATATAATAAAACCAATTAAACACAAAAAAATCAAAATAAACATTTTCTTATAAGAAAATATATTGTAATACCTAACAATATAGATTTGCTATTCAAAATATGGTTCATTTAATTATAACTTATGGTTATAATAACAATATGCGAAAAATTAGTTTTGTTATAAAAATTTAGTAAAGTAAGATATTTAAATAGGCTATTACAACCATCATGAACGGCTAAAGTGTTAGTACTACACTAGATGATTAAAATTATAAGATTATCTGGATACAATAACAATATAATGTTATCACACATTATTAGCAATATGTCGCTGTAGTTTTTACTATACAGAAAGTTTATACATATCATACGTATAGTATATTTATATTTATTTTATATTTGACCATATAGAGGGTACTTGTAACCCTAGGCATATGACTATTATAACTAAATAAATTTTTGTTTTATGCAACAAAAAAAATATAGTTAAAGTGACAATTAAACTGTTACAATATAAACATGGTTAACTTAACAGTATATAATATATTATGACTGTGTATACTAATCAGAATATTCGATTAAAATAACCATTGTTTTTTCTCAGTATGTATTTATTTTCATATATTTGTGTTCATAGAATAATTCCATAATGTTATCATATTTATAGCCTTAAAAAAGAAGTAAAAAATAAAATTAGAAACATCGGCAATTTGTTTGCCTAATTACTGTCCTACACCCAAGAATTCCACATCAAATTAGAGAAGAAAGGACACGAAAAAATATTTATGTCTCCACATTAAAATTATCTCCGCTTTTACAAAATATTGCTTGCGTTTTTTTATTTATTGTTTAGTCGAATATAAAAAGAATATTATATAATTTTAATGCAAAAATAATATACAGGGTGCACCAGGTATTTTTTTATTTGAAGATCTGCAAGATCTGTTAAATTAGAGAAAAGTTGCGTAATTTCAAGCCTATTAACATAAAATTTATTAATTAAAAAAACAACAGAAATTCTCAAAATAAACTAAAAAACTTTCAAAACCAAAAATTATTATAATTTTGTTATTCCAGGGTATTTTGAAACAAAGTAAATGTTACATATACATAAACTTACACAATAATCTAGATTTTGTCCAATTTCTTTGCTACTATGTTTTAAATTACCATCTTATAATGACCGCTATAACTTATGTAATTTAATACATTATTGGATCCCTTAATTTTTTTAATCTAATAATGTAAAATTTTAAAATGGCTGTCATTAGAAAAACAAAAGATGGTGATGATATCTCAAAATTTAGTGTGGGAAAAAAATCACAAAATTAAAATACTTTTTCTTAATTTAAAGTAACGTAATTATAACGATTTTTGGTCTTGACAGGTTTTCAGTTTTTTTTTCAAATAATTTGAGGCCCTATTGTAATAGTATTGAAATATTATTTTAATTTTTAACTCTGTGACATAGTTCATTAACATAAAGGTCTTATGGAATGTCAGGGTGACGTAAATTAATATGCTTTTTTATCACTTAAAGGGTTAAATAGTCCTAACTATCATAGTAAGCAATTTTGCATGGATGATCCATGTCGAATCTTTATAAATCGCTTTAAGAAATTGTGGTTTCATTTGACACGAGATTTTTTCGAATAATATAGGGTAATTTTTACCTGTGCATCCGGGTGATTGGCCAGGACCATTAGTCCCAAGCTTATTCCCATAGATGTTGTATCGTGACCCTAAAATTACATATCATTATATGTAATGTTATTTATTATTTTCATTTAATTTACCTCAAACATAAAAGTATCTACTTCTTCTCTAATACCCTCATCATCGATAGAACCATTAGTAAACTTTTCGTTCAACAAAATATCGAGAAGAGCCATATTTTTCCTTTTGGAATAACTGTTATCGTCTTCAACTTTAAAAGGCACAAAATTCTTCGATTTGTTTTGTATAACCTTATTGGTAAAATTGTGTAGTTTTTGTAATAATTTTTTTTCTTGGTAGCCGTCAATAGTGCAGTAGTAATAAAACCAATCCCTCCACAACCATGGTTTAAATAGCCTTGCTATTAGAAGCGTTCCCAATGAATATATTGTTGTTTTATAGTCTTCATCTTCTTTATTTTGGACCGTTAGTTTTGTACCCATTGATGTTTCTAAAATAGAGTTATACATTTGGTTTCTACATACAATTAATTTTATTATTCACCATTGATCGTATATAAAGTAAATTGGGTGATTGAAGACACTACGTCGATACTTAGTTCTTGCTTGTTTTCACATAATTTTAAATAGTTTTGAACTAAATTATCAGTTTCATCGTTAAAAACGTGAATAAATTTTTGTAAAATACTAAAATGAAAAGCTGGAGTAAGAATTTTCCGCCTTTGTTGCCATTTTAGTCCTGGAAAATAGTATTCGGTTTTGGAAGTTTTTTTAAATTATTTAATTAATCTTACCAGTTGCAGTTAATAGACCAGTACCCAGCCATCGAGACAAAATTCGATAAATGTCGCTTTTTGTTGAATGTTGAGTTGTTGATACAATTTGCTTAAAAAATGATTCAGTGTAAAATAGTTTATTTTATTTTTTTTCTTTATGTACATTGATTTTTGTTGATTTTAGGAATTTTTACCTTTATCCCAAAAATATACATTTCCATTGTGTGCACAAGCTGACGTCATACATATTTATTTTATAATTTTACTTACTTCAATGTCATCAGGCCCAATAAGATTTATTGCCAGGCCAGGGCCAGGTTGAAGCCTATAAATTGGATAATAATCCAAAGCCCATTTCCTTAACTGCATAAACAATCGTTCTAAAATATAAATTTTACAACAAAGAAAATAATCGATCAATGGAAAATTTACCATCTGTATGCATAAATTCGAAAAAATGTCCCACAGGGTAGTTGTATCCTTTTGGTCCTGGCACTTTTTTGCAATATAATCGAACCCTGACGTGATTGTAGAACCAAGAAGACAAATAAAAAATTGCAGTTAAACATGAAACTAAGGCTAATACAATTAGGTACGACATTGTTGTTATACTGCCTTTAAAACATAAATAAATATTGCAATCAGCTCTCGTGAACTGTTGATAATAAAGTTTAAATTTGAACTTTGTTCATATAAAACTTTTTTTTACAATAAACTGATATTTTGTAAGTGTAAGTGTTTATTGTTTATTCTTAAATGAAAAAATAATACAAAAACACTTTTCGACAAGACTTATTTAGTAGTTTGTCATTTATAAGGTTTTAAACATTTTTGAAAATTAATAATACCTAATAATTAAAGTATAAATTTTATACACTTAATACAACTCCCAATATCCCAAGGCCATGCCCTTAGTGTGCGATTTTTGGGACACCTTGTGTATAAAAGTGATTTTCTACTCCCACCTTTAAAACGCCCTTTATCGTACATGTTTCCATGACACTAAGTGACCTTTTAAATACACATTGACAAGTTGTGGCTTTACGGCGCTTAAGTCACGGGCTGAAGTTAGTTTTAAGTTAGTTGACAGTTGTCAAATGTCATACAATCGTTAAAATAAAGTGCCTTTCTTGTAAAATAATACTAAATGTGAAAATTATTTTATTATCTCAATACTAAAATACAAAAATATGAAATAGTTTCTCAACTCCAATATTTGAAAAGTTTATATGAACATTGTACTGACCTTTTCATTTCGCCGGCAGTAAACTATAACTTAAATTCGGGCACGGACTCTACTGTAAAGTCCTCATAAAACATTTCCTTTACTTTCACTGTGAAAAACTGTAAATTTTCAAGATACATTTCGATTTATAACCTTTATAATTGTGTTTATAAAATGTAAAAATGTAACATTCGACAGTTTCCCCTGCTGTTTCATAGATGGCGCTCTATACAAATTTTTGATTTAAATCATTTTAAGATAATAATAAGTATTTGTCGTAAAAAAAGTATAGTATGCACCTCGTTTATAAACTTTTCTATACACTCATTAACTTAAGCACTCGCTCGCAAGCTCGCTCGTGCCTAAATTAAATTCGTGTATAAAATGGCGTTTATTAAACTTGATACATAATATACTATTACCTAGTAAACTAGTCTATACATATAGTAAATTTAAAAGTAAACTACGTACACGTCATCAATCAGCTGATCGGGCACGGTTGTCAATGTGATGCTAAAATCCTTGCATCAAGGGAAAGTGGTAGTGCAACTACAGGGCGATAGATGGCGTTTACATGAATAATACCAAAATGTCAAAAGTCTGAGTTTTTATAACCTATCCCAAGCAGCAATTTGTGCCCGAACTTGGGCACGACACTTTTTGTTTCCAAATTGTTTCGACACAAATCGGAAAACTTATGTCTAAATGGAAACTGTGTCCATTCTTCAAATTTGTGGTTGCTTTGGGTCGACACCTTGTGTCCAAAAAAAGTATGGGTCTAAGTAGCATTATTTCAGAAATATGTGCCCAAGTTGCGTCGCTTTTGTGCCCTCTTGGAAACAGTAACACAATTTAGACTCATTAGGGTCGACACTTAGTCGACTCAATGTTTCCATATTGTACCTTATCAATCTGTTTCCATTTTATTACCAAATTGAGTCAAGTGGACGCAAAAGTTTCCATTTAGCTGCATTTTAGATTCATGGTGTCTGATTTGTTTCAAAAATGTGTGGGGCGGGCGCATTAGGTTCCAAAGGGACACATTGTGTAATTCGCCATATTTTTTTGTTGAAACAGATTCGACGCTTTAATTTTTTTTACATAATTTAACTTTCTGGTGAAATTTAAACTTAAAATTTAAAAAATGCAATGTTTTAAGTTACATAGAAGGCACATACGTCTAGTTTTGATAAAAATATAGGGAAAAAAAATTATTTTTAATAAAAAAAAATTATAAATACTTATTATTTGTGAGGCCCTATCAATTTTTAAAAGTATTTTGCTTATAATCACCAATAAAATTTTGTTCGCAATAAAAATGAAGGTAACATATACCAAAAATGTTAGATTTAAGTTATAATAATATATTATATACATAATTATTAATAAGACATCACGCCTTACTTTGCCTCTTTGTTTGTTTCCAATTCGTTTCCAATTAAAATAGTTAGTGTCCATTTGGGTTTATATTAGGACACAATACAGTACTTTGGCAACAATTCGGAACAAATGGTGACCATTTAGTAACATACAAATTAGAAACTCTTTGGGCATTAATCGGTCACACTACCGGGCACATTGTGGGCAAATTTTAAGAAAAAATCGGGCACATTTTGTGGACAAACTATGGACACTTTTTGGTACAACTTTCATCACCACTTTGGTCTCATTTTCCACACTTAGTGGTCTTAAAGTGGACTATGTGTCTTTAAAATGTGTCGTGTCCAAAATCATGTTTCGACGCTGTGTCGACACATTGCCCAAAATGTGTCATTCTTTGCTGCTTGGGATATGATGCACCGCCAAAAGTATGTTTTTAGCCATTTTTAAAGACATTTTCTGATATAAAACCCAAAAATTTTGCCATCTAAAGTCAGTCTCTGGTATATACAGGGTGTTTCATAATATATGCGCAGGACTTCAGGATCTGATAGCTCAACCAAAAAGATGAAAAAAGTCGCTATTAACTTACCCTCTAAAATGCACAATTTTCGAGATACAGGGTGTTGAAATTTTAGAAAAAAAATCGTTTTTTTCGATTATCTCTGGAACCGTTTATGGTACAAAAAACAGCTTTTGTAAGCATTTTCTACTCATAATAAGGTATGTTTTGTGCCAGAAAAAATTTTTTTTTCTTCATAATTGGTGGAGATTTTGAAGGGGTAGCGGGTGTTTTTCTCCTCAACTTCTACGCCCCTGAAAAAAGTACGGTTTCGAGAGGCTCATTCAAACCGCCAATGTTTTCTACACCAAAAAGGTACTCTAGGTCATAAGCTCTAAAGTTGACCGTTTTCGAGAAAAATCAACTTTTATGTTTAAAAACATGGTCAATTTTTTGAAAAAAAATTTTTATTACTAATTAAACAAAATTTATTTTAACGTTAGAAAAAGTAACAAAACCAAACGATAATTGCAAAATTAAAAAAAAAATAAAAAATGATTTTTTACACAAATGCTGAAATGTGCGAAATGCGTTACCTTTACGGTTTGGAGAATTTAGCAAAGACAACTTTTGAATCATTTTTTATTTTGAAATTATGGTTTGGTTTTGTTACTTGTTCTAATGTTAAAATAAATTTTGTTTAATTAGTAAAAAAAAATTATTTTTTTTTGAAATTGTTCATGTTTTTAAACATAAAAGTTGATTTTTCTCGAAAACGGTCAAGTTTAGAGCTTATGACCAAGAGTACCTTTTTTGTGTAGAAAACATTGGCGGTTCGAATGGGACTCTCAAAACCGTACTTTTTTTAGGGGCGTAGAAGTTAAGGAGAAAAACACCCGCTACCCCTTCAAAATCTCCACCAATTATGAGGAAAAAAAAATTTTTCTGGCACAAAACATAGCTTATTTTGAGTAGAAAATGCTTACAAAAGCTGTTTTTTGTACGATAAACGGTTCCGGAGATATTCGAAAAAAACGATTTTTTTTCTAAAATTTCAACACCCTGTATCTCGAAAATTGTGCATTTAAGAGCGTAAGTTAATAGCGACTTTTTTCATCTTTTTGGATGAGCTATCACATCCTGTAGTCCTGCGCATATATTATGAAACACCCTGTATAATATTATTTTATGTATCCAACATATATTTTGTTAAATATTCTAATATATAATTAATAATAATCCTATTTACCTCTCTAACGGCTGTTAAAGGTAACAAAGGTCCATTATTATCCCGTTCTGCCTCAAAATAGCGTATTAAGGATGACACCAACTCTTGACTCCGACTATTTAAATGCTTCGGTATTTTAAATATAGGAAACACAAAAAAACGATATATAACAAACACAAAAACGGCAATGAAAACTTAAACGATATAAAATAACACAAACAACAAACAAAATAAACGAAATAATACACGAATTAAACGAAATATTCAAAAACACAACTTACAGCTTCGAAATTCTAAAACGTCAAATTCTTTTTTATGTCATTTAAATATGAAATATTTAAATGTAAATATGACAACATCTTAATTGTTGCCAACTGAAGTTTAAAATGCATTCAAATATTCAATTACAGACTTCGATTTAGTCATTTAGTGTTGGTACCAATGCCTAAAATTTTTGTTTTATTGATGACGTGTACGTAGTTTACTTTTAAATTTACTATATATACCTACATATTTTATTGTTTCGACATTTACTTGATGAAACTCCCTCACTAATGTAAAACTAATAACACAGTAGCTTCTTCAAAAATTTCAAATTAAATTAAAATAAATTCGAGAAACTCAAAAAACAGTGTTTGTTTTTTATCTAGTTATAGGTATATTATAATATATAGTATACTAATCTTTATATCTATATATCTATATATCTATATATCTATATATCTATATATCTATATATCTATATATCTATATATCTATATATCTATATATCTATATATCTATATATCTATATATCTATATATCTATATATCTATATATCCATATATCTATATATCTATATATCTATATATCCATATATCTATATATCTATATATCTATATATCTATATATCTATATATCTATATATCTATATATCTATATATCTATATATCTATATATCTATATATCTATATATCTATATATCTATATATCTATATATCTATATATCTATATATCTATATATCTATATATCTATATATCTATATATCTATATATCTATATATCTACAGTGTGTCGCACTTAAGATGAAGACACCCCCATATTTTCGCTATTTGAAGGAATAAAGGTTTGAATTTTTTCACATTCATACATGTTGATGGGTCACATTTTTTAAGATACTCAACTGAAATCTGAACTTTAAACTTGGCCTACTACAAATTGACAAACAGGGCCAGTTCTCGATATTTTGCTTCGCGTTAGAGATATCGAAAAAAGTTATTGGAAAAAGTTGT